GGCGCGTCGTGCTGTAGCTTGCGTAGCTGCGGCTGCGGCTGCGGCTGTAGGAGTAGGTGCTCAGCGAGCTGGAGGACGAGGGGCTGGGGCGGTAGTAGGGGATGGGACGCTTGCGAGCGCTGCAAATGGAAAAGGGAAACTGAGTCAGGACCCCGGCGGCAGCTCGGGGAGGGGAGACCAGCGCCGGCTCCCCAGCATGGCTCAGCATCCCTGCAGGGTGGCCAGGCTCGGACCAGCTGCATGGTGTCAGGATGTGGCCGCCCAGCATCACCCCCCACCCTCCATCCCCTGCCTCCTCCCCAGCCCCCCCGGGGTGTTAGTCCTGGATTAGGCAGCGGCGAGGGCAGAAAGTGAGCAGGTTAATGTGGCTTTTGTTTCCCAGACACCAAAGATTGAAAGCTGCTGAAAAAAGAGACGTTCGGGATTAGCGGGAGGTGAGCTGCAGCCCGCTGGCACCTGAGGATGAGGAGGGACGTGGGGAACAAGGGAGCAGTGGGGATGGGGGGACACGGGGGGCAGCGACGTCTGGAGCCAGTGCAGGAGCTGGCCCCTTGCCCCCTTCTGCTGGCCCAGTGTTAGTGGGACCGAAGAGAGAGACACAGCCACGGCTCAGAGGCAGCTGGGTGCCAAAGGCATCCTAGGGTGTGAGGAGACACAGAGGGGTCCGTGAGAAAGAGGAGGAAGAGGAGGAGGAGGAGGAGGAGGGGGGAGGTTACCCTGGCAGCCAGGCTGGCGGCGATGCTCTCCGAGAGGGACCTTGGGATGAAATGGAAAAGAAGTTGGCATCACTGAGGCAGGACTACACGATGATGGACCCTGGGGTGAGGGGGTGACAGGGACCGGGGACAGGGCAGGAGGGCAAGGAAAGGCCCTGGGGCTTCTCGCTCGGCTATGGGGCAGGTGAGAGGGGCTGGGGGGGGGGTCCCCTGACTGCCCCCTCACCGCAGCATCCTCCAAGCCTCGCAAAAACGGCTCTGCGCCAAGCAGAGTGGGGTCCGCCATCCCCATCCATCCCAGAGCTGGGTGATAGGGATGGGTGGATGGTCCCCACAGGGACTGTGGGCTGTCTCCTCCAGCCAGGCCCTGCCACCTTCCTGGGGACATCCCGGCAAAACCCAGCTCAGGGATGGAGTGGGAGGGATGCAAAACCAGACGGTGGTACCCAGGCTGGGAGGCCTTCCTCTGGGCTGGGAGCAGCTTTCCCAGCCCATGTTCTGTACAGGGCATCCATTGGGGAGGGCTGCAGAGAGCTCTAACCCACCACATGAGCAGTATTTCTCCTGTCCTCCCTCCTTACAGCTTCGGTCCAGCCCAGGCAAAATAAAACCCCTCTCACAGCAAGCCAGAGCTGATTTCTGAGGATCCAGCCTCCTCCACCCCACAGCCCTGATCTCCCAGCTGATAGCAGGAGAGACAAATAGGTCAGGAACAAGGTAATCTCAGCTCGCCACTGGTACCGCGCCAGCGCTGCATGCTAACGAGGTACTATATATGCACACAGTGTTTTGTCTGGCACTAAATATTGCCTGTCTTACAGCCCAGGATCCTGAGTCAATAGGATGTCAAGGAGGAGAAACCGGCTTTTGGAGGGCAGGGGAGAGACGCGTGCAGCTGTGTGTCTTGCTGGAATATGCACGCGCGGATTAAACTGAATTCCTATTTTCATGCCTCGAAATGGGAAGAGATGAGAAGGCTGTAATATTGGAGGCAGTCTGGTTATCCGTCTGTCTGGGCCAGCTGATTTGCCCAGCCAGTCATCCTCAGGGTTATCTATCTGTCCGCAGAGTTGTCCTTTGTCTGTCCATCCATTTGTCCGTCCATCCATCTATCCATCCACCCATCCGTTCATCCATCCATCCACCCACCCATCCATCCATCCACCCACCCATCCATCCATCCACCCACCCATGCATCCTTCGGGGCTGGCTGGTGGGATTCCTGAGCCCTGGGCCATGCCAGGGGCCGCGGGCGGGGGCTTTCCCCCC